CACTTAGCTACAATCCGTGGAGGGCTGGATATGGGGGGGGGGAGGGGGGTGGTTGGGTGTGGAAGGGCTGCGCAGTGGGAGGATGGAAGTTGGGGGGAGGCCTTGGGAGGCTGGATGGAGGGTGTTGGATGGAGGGAGGGCTGCTGGACAGAGTTTGTGGGGGCTGGATGCGGGGGTTGGATGGAGGGACGGTCCAGGGACGGTGGGCTGGACGGAGGTGGACGGGGCTGAATGGATGGAGGGATGGGTTTTCTGATCTGAACCGAACCGAACCTAACCGAACCGCAAGAAGAACTGCAGCGAACCGGGCGAACCGACACTGAGTCAAAACCTAGCCGGGAAAGCGACATAAACCGATACGAAACGCGGTTTTATTGAAAGTAGTAGTATTCCTGAGCTTCTTGGTGCTATAAACCCAGTTAAGGGATCACAGGAGCAGGCTGGTAGTAGTGGTAGTAGTGGTAGTTGTAGTGGTAGTAGTAGTAGCGGTAGTAGCAGCAGCAGCAGCAGCAGCAGCAGCAGCAGGATGAGGAGGAGTAGTAGTAGTAGTAATAATAATAATAATGAAAATGATCATAGTAATAATAGTAAGGATAATATAAGAATCATAACAGTACTAGTAGGGAAGGAAAAACGTGGTGGCGGTGGTGTTGGTGGAGGTGGCGCAGCTGTCGTTGCTGTCGCACGAGTAGTAGTGAGCTAGCACTCGCACTAGCACTGTCATATTTGCTCGTACTAAGTACGAACATCTGGTGAGCAGTTGTGATGGGGGTAGGAGTCTCGAGCGACAGCAGCGGCAGCAGCAGTAGTGGTGGTCACTGCTGGAATTGCGGTTTGTGTTGCCTCATTCTCTGGAAGAGCTTGTCACAAGGCATGACTACATTCATGAGGCTGTTGTTGCCGAGCCTGATATCTGGAATTACTCGAAGAACAAGGCCCCCACAGGGGGTGCTGTGAAGCTGGCAGGGCTCGGCGCGTGGTATGCTCGAGAAAGCTTTTTGCCTCGCCCCAGCTCCAGAAAGGCAGAATCTTCAGCTGCAGTTTTCTGTCACGCACTGTCTCTATGGACACATGCTGCACGACTTCACAGATGACACAGGCTGCCACGCAGGCAAGTCTGCTTTTCAACATCTTGAGGTCACAGCAACGCATGTTCCAGGAACAGACGTGCCTGGCAGCTGAGGGTGAAGGCAGTTACTTGTAATTCTAGATTGGTCTCCCGGCAGGACGAAGCACCCAGTGCTGCAGAGGCACACGGAGTCAGGCCACCGCCAACAACAAGTCCCGAAGCCATGGAGGGATAAATGCCTGTGTAAGCAAATGCAAGGCCTACATGCAAGCTCGTTTGGCGAAGGGGATTTTTGGCTCAGGCTTCTGCGAATGGAGGCTCGTCTCTGGTGCGACGCGCTTGGACCGGTAGCCGCAAACGCTGCAGGCGTGGGGACACCAACTTTCTGTGGGTCTGTAGGTCAAGCACATCTTCTACATGCATCTACCAAAGCTAACTTGATCACAGGCTTGACAGGAGGTTGCGCTGATCCGGAGCTGAGGGCATGCAGGAAGAAAGGCACGCCAAGATCTGCTGTTCGGACATCCCGCGCACAGGCTGGACGAGTATGAGACCGATCAGCAATCTCCCACATTTGCTACTTTCGAACGCTTTCAGTTCACGCCGACAGGGCGAGCAAGAGCCATGCGGCCCACTACTTCTTCAAGATCTTTCGCACAGGGAGCTGTGACTGCGCAGGGCCTGCCTGCCCAGTCTTTGAAGTTCACTCTGTTGCGGTGCAAGAAATTTCGCGGACACCAGGACAAGTCCGCTGCAAAAGTGCCTTCGCTCGTATACTTCCCGTCCGAGACTGTCGGATGGCCCGCATGTGCCAAATGGCAACGGATCTGGTGCATGCGGCCCGTGGCAATAGTAACGTTCACCAAGCTAACAGAGCTAACACTCGAAGTTTCTTGAGGGCACCCACTCTTTGAGAGTCTGAAATGCCTGCGCGAGCGCAGCCAGGTGCGGCAAGGTTTCCCTCGGCCTGGCACGGACACCCGGCCTTCCAAGCTCAGCTGCGAAGTCAGCTCCTTCACTGTATTTGGTACCCAGCCATGACAAAGAACCAGATAATACCTCTCCAGTACACCCGACGCAAGTTGGAGCTGCAAGTCGTGGAAGGCCTCGAAAGTCTTCGCAACCACGAGTAGCCCAGAGCTGGGCACATCCAGCCGATGCAAGAAGCCAAAGTCTCGCTGCGAATCAGAGAGTATGGGTACATGCAAGTGGTGCCTCTGGATCCAGTGGTGCAGTTGGAAATCGCCATGCATGTCGTGCACCTCCCACCCAACCGGCTTGTGGACGACAAGCCGATCTCCCACATCAAGATGGCAGCACGGCTGCACAGCGGTCGGAGCGGCACTCCACATCCTAACCTCACTGAGCGGAAGAACGCACCGGACCCCACTGTGGGCATCGAGAAGCCTTCCGTGGTCGCGGACAAAGCTGGAAGCTTTCCTGCTCAAGGACGCTTGAAGACCCCCTGCCAGAGCACAGCCCCCAACCAGGCCAAGCACCTCTTCGACCTTGACTGTGCCCAGCATGCTCAAGTCTGAATTCTGCAGTGTCAAGCGTCTGCATGCCTCCTGCTGGACTCTTTCCAAAACTTCGGCGCTGTGTTGCAAGTCACAAAAACCCCATGCAAGTATCATCAATTGCTCTATGGTGAAGTCATGAAGATTGCGTTTGACAAGACTGCCCAGTTTCCGCTCAAGGTTCTTGCCGACGGCCCCGAGGGCACGTGCCGCCCAACAAACTGCAGCAACTTGGGCAGCGGGCACTGCACCAGGCTTCGCAACGAATCGCAGCGCGCGCACGCAAGCCCTGTATATTTTATGAGGATCCTGTGAACTCATCTTGGCAAGTGCCCAGAGAGCGAACGCAGGATCTACACCACTCTGTAACAACAGTTCCTGCCCGGAGTGAAGCTCCTCTGCTGATTCACATGCAAGATAAGCAGTTCGATAGCTGACTGCATTCGGAGTACATTTCAGTAGTGACATGCAGCTCAGAGTCTCCAGACATCTCTTCCATTGCTTGCCCGTCGCACAGACAGTGCAAAGGGATGTCCAAGCCACCACATCCAGCTGGATCTGCTCCTCTCGAAACAGATGCAGCGACCTCAAAGCCTTGTTCCAGCACCCAGCCACATCAAGCGAGACCATCGTCGCACTGCATGAGATGTGATCCGGTTCGATCAGCCGTCCTTTCATGCACCTAACCATTCTCAGAGCCTGGGGCCATCGAGTGACCTCTCCGAAAGCAGACGTGGCGGAGTTTTCTGCAATCAGGCTCGACTGCAGTGCATTGAGCTTCATCTCGGCCAACAGAGAAACAGCGGCCTTCCACTGACTGCTTTTCTCACAGGCTCCTAAGCTTGCTCCACAGCTGATAGTGTTCGCTTGTAAGCGTTGCCGCTGCGACTCCTGCAAGAGGCTGCATGACCTCTGCCACTTCATGTGCATGGAAGCGGCCACAATCGTAAAGCTGGCCAGGTCCGGTGAAATCTCCACACTACGCAGATAGTACAGTCGTTCCAGGGCCCTTCTCCAGCCCTTCTCCCTGCTAAGATCTGAAAGCTTCCGGTTCACGTCTGGGATCAATCGCCCCACCTCGAAGCGCGTCATCATCAGGACTCTGAGCTTGCTGCCCAAAGACCCCAATAAATGAACTGCACGGCATGCTTGAGACTTCAGAAAAGCCGATTCTAAAGGATGAATGATAAAAGTCATGTGCACACGGTCCAAAGTCATATTACGCACGGTCCATCCGATTCTCGCTGCTCTCGACTGACAAAAACTGCCGTGCGAAGTGCGAAGTCCTGCTGCACTTCCTTTTTAACGTCAGGCTGTCGTCCCGGCATGTCAAACTGAAACCCACACCTCAAGATCTGCACAACCTTACGACGACTTACGGTTGGCGCGATGAGCCTATGGACCGGAACCGGGCTGAGTTGTCGGCGGCACGAAAGTAGTGCCAGCTTAAAGGTGACTGCTTGTACTGAATAGCATGTACCGATTGCATCTGAGAGTCCAAGCCTTGCCAAACAGGTGACACGTGATCGAGCTACTGTGGACATATCGCCACAGCATCACCGGTGCCCTTCGGGTGGCGGGATAATGCCTCAGGTGCCAACTGCGTCGCGAGCAGATGTCCGAGCAACTGCAACCGCTTCTTCCTTGCATTTCTCTGCAACAGCTGCTAGAGCAGCTAGCCTACGTAGAGTTTTCTCGAGGCAGCCTGAGGCGGTGCCTTTGCAGGCTGGCCTGCGATTGAAAGCTAAGATGCCAGGCGAATTTGCCACGAGGACGCTTACGCGAGGCGGTGTAGCACATGGACCTGGGAGGCACAAGTGCCGAGACTGGACTATCAATGACATGGGAAATTCCAACTTGCCTTTCGACTGATGCGACTGCTTGCCAAGGCCCGCTACACCGCGCTGAGTGACGATGATGTCACTGAGACCGCCGACCTGAGATGTTCCACCGGAGTCCCGTGACTTAGTGCCAAAGCCTCAAGAAAAGTAAAGGAGCTCCGTCAACATGTAATGGAATCGCTGCAGAAGGCGAAGTGCAACACATGACCGGCAGAAGCTTCCGATTCCATCAAGAGCTTCCAGCTGGGAGCTCGAATGCTGCCGCATCGAATTCCTTGTCAGCTTTGGAGCAAAGGGGCAAAGCTGAGCTCCGTCTCTAAAAGGCTTGTCGTAAGTGCCAACTGACTCCCCGATCTGCCTTCCCCTGCTGGCCCTGCGTGATCCATCCTGAGCACCAGAGGCAACCATGGGGAAATCCTGACCGTCGGACCAACACGGTTCTCTCGACTTGATCAGGCCTAAATCGGACAACGATCCGGCTGTCGCAGACTTGCAGTCAGAATGTTCCTGCGTGGGTAGGGCCGGTCATGTCAACAAGATGCTCCTTCGTGGATTCGCTGCCTTGGCGAGCTCTGCGAACTTCGCCGTCAGGCGCTTGTTGGCACCGGCTTCTGGCAAAATTGAACCGCGCATGACTGTCCGGACTACTGTATCCCCCCACGGAGATTATGGACACCCTTCGTGCAAGCCCTCTTCGATGACCATCTGATCCCAAGGAGCCACGCTCGAAAGTGAAGACTGTGGCACCATCTCAAAAGAGGCTCAGGAAGCAATCAGAACAAAGCGAAACAAGATGCAGCTCGCTGTTGTGTGGCAAGAGCACCTGGACCGCTGGTGTAGACTTGATGCAGGACCTCCAGAACACCGCGTGAAATATTTGGCAGCCTCCTGGTGTTAGTTCACCAACAGAGCTGGTGGCCTCCAACAGCTTCAGGAGATGTGCTTCCGCATCTGCCTGCCGGATCGGTGCAAGCGACAAGTGCTGACTGAAACAGGCTCTCTCTGCATTCCTAGCGCATAGCAGGGGGGGCTTGAATCTACCTTATGACCTTATGTTGCTTCCGCAGAGGCACGACTCTCACGAAGGCCATGAAGGCCTGTGTCCGGTCTGCTGGGGCAGCTCGTCGTGCCTTGCCAAACAACACGGACTTCAGAAGGCTTCCTGCTGGCGAACTTTAACCGGCCCTTCGGAACCCGAAAGCATGAGATGTCCGTCCAGAGAGCACGGCAGACTCTTAGTCCGACATCAGAGACTGAAGGTACCGCTGTCGGGAATGGAAATTGCCATTTCAAGCAGGGCTCGTGCGCCAGCAGGGGGCTTCGCAACACAAAAGACAAACTCAGAAGGCGATTGGCCTGCGGATCGGATGGAGCAATGCCACTAGCTGGCTGGCCTCAGGAAGGCAAACCCTGCCGACAGTCAAAGACTGTTTTTTCCCGTGCACTTTGCTTAGCTGAAGACACTTTAGAAGGATGTGCGCGATTCGGATCCTGCAGGCCCACAGTGGTGCGAGAAACTGCGGTTCCCCCCCACAACTGCTCCACCGTCCTGGACGGTGGCTTTACCGATGGCAGGATTCTCCTTAGATCGTTTCTTGAAGGAGACAAGCATGGAAGCTCGTGTTCGCCTTTCTTTGCCAGCTTCACAACTCCTCAGAAGCTGAGCTTGCCTCCCATCTGCGGTCTTCAGGCGCTTGGCGGCTTGCGCCTACATCGGAACCCAAGCAGATGGTGGATTCAGGTGAGAGGCTCACGGGGCACGAAGGCCTGGTCTGCTGCTTGGGTGAGAATGTCGTCATTGACATCGACAAAAGCTGCCAATGCCTTTCCGCTCGGTACTTCGGTGTTGCAACTTCCCCGGCCAACCACCATTTGGTAGCAAAAGCTGAGCCAGCATGTTGAGCTCGGAACCCCGACGGCTCTCGCCTGGCTTGTGTTCCGGTCGCTGGCGACTCGAATCCGCGATAATCCGCGATTCCAGTCAAGAAGTGCCAACAGCGTGCCTGCTCTGCGGTCGACATTTCTTTTTTCCTATGGGATGCCGATGCACCCTGAGCAACACCTGCGGCAAGGATTCCAGAAGCAAGCGTCCTTCTGTGTCTTGCTTCTGCACTGCAAAGGTTCAAAGCCAGGTGCCAGGCGCAGACAGGCTGCCTTTGGCTTGCCTGCACATCAGAAGACCCTGAGGAGAGTCTGAGGCCCCGGCCGGGGCAAAACGTAGCAAAACGCTGGCTGTTTCACAAACCCTATGCTTTTTCGATGCATGGACAGGCAGCTTTGGAGAAGGTCCTTCTTTGTGTCACGCTCTTGAAGCGAAATCACAACAAAGAGAGCTTCACAAGCCCTCGCATGCACGGCGCATTAGCTGAAAAATGCGAAAATTAAAGCAACTAAAGCAAGTTGATGAAGGTGTCATACAACGTAAAGAACAAGCATGCCTGAGGTGCATAGTAGAGCGCCCGTTCAGCGGCTCCGACCAGAAAGCCGTCGAGCCCTTTCGAGGTCCAGATGCTCATCGCTGCGCCCTTGACAAGGTCAAGCACACTCTCCTCCTTCTCCGACTGATCTTGTATCTCGGTCATGACCACCGTGGAGATGTTGTCCACTGGAACCGTGAGCAGGCCCGCACAGGCACCAGCTAAGAAGCCCCAGACCAATCTCTGGGCAAACAGGTTGAAACCTAGGGGCTCCAAATATTCGGGCGTGAACTCCTTGAAGAACTCGAAGAAAACCAGCTGCAGGGTTCCATAGGGCACATCGCGCACCAAGATCGCAGTCCAGGAGGCCAGGTAGTATCTGGCAGCCCCTGGCCTGGAAAAGACGATGTCAAAGGCTTCCTCGAAGCCTTTGGCGTAGCCTGCTTGCACCTGCTTGTTCATCAACTCCTGCAGGCCAGGCCCTTCATTAGACAGCAACCTCCTACTAACTCTCTCGCGGCCCATCTCGAGGGCTGGTGAGTCAGGAAGGGATCCGGAAACTTCCCCCAAACCCTAAACCCAAGACCCTAAACCCTCGACCCTAAACCCTTTTGAACCTAAACCCTAGACCCTCATTAATCCCTAATCGTTAAGCCCACAACCCTCGACTCCTAAACCCTAAACCCTGGACCCTAAACCATAATCGCTAAGCCCTAGACCCTAGACCCTGAACCTTAGAAGCCGAGGCCCTGACAAAGGGGACGCGGACCGTCGAGCCGAGGGCATCGGCCACGGCGCCTGCCGGCACCATCCTGGGTTCTTCGTAAGGGACTTACTTGAAGTTGCCATAATAGGGATCTACAGTGTGTTTTTAATTAAAAATGGGGATCTACAGCAACTAATAGGATTTGAGTGATTTAAGTTACTACAATGTAGTAAATAGTAGGACTCAAGTTGCTATAATAAAGAACCCAGCATCGCCGCGAAGCGTAGGGCCGTGGAGTTGGCCAAGGTCCCGTTGAGCAACCTGGGAGCAGCGAGCGGCTCTTTTGGGGTTTTTGTTGCTAAGGGTATTTGGGGGTTTTGTATTAAGGGTATTTAGGGTTTAGGGTTTGGGATTTAGGGAATAGGGTTTAGGGATCTAGGATTTAGGGTTTAGGGTCCCTACATCCTACCGTATGTAACCTGCACAAGGCGCTGAAGCAAAAGGTTGAAGATGGCCCTCTTGAGGAAGTTGAAAGTGCCCAGCAAGATTGATGCATTGGGTGCCTTCAGCAAGCGCGCTTCTCTTCTTGGAAAGAAAGACGGCATCATCCGCAAATTTTGAGTAGCCTCCCTCACGCGAACTGCCAAGCCCACTGTGCACCCCGCCTCCCTCCCCAAATTCAGCAGAAGGCCATCGAAGAGAGCCAGCGGTCCACCCTCCTCTGGGCTGGGCAGCGCCGTCCGCCCAGTTTGGAGCCGCACCTCGCAGGGGTGTGGGCTCGGACAAAAAGTCAAAAAGCAGTCGCAAGGACGCCCCGTTTTGAAACGCAGCCTTGGTGGAATCGATGGGATAGACAATCGTGCAGGCGATGAGGCTTGCGACAAAGCCACAGCCGATGTCCTTCACGAGCTGGTCCGAAGAGCTGCTTGTCCTGCTGGGAGCCCACCAGCCGTTAAGATCTTCGATGGGGGGAGGCGCAAACCCTCCAGTATCCTAAAGTCCCGCGATCCCAGAAGGCGCCGCCAAAGGGAGCCGGATCTTAATGCGTCCCCAGCTGGAACCCGCGATGCTTGCCACGACCGGGCATTTTAAAACCTCCGATGCTGCTTTGGCTTTGGCTTGTTGGTCCTCGCAATCCACGAATAGTTGAAAGTTTTCACCTCTGCATCTTGCAGCTCTTTGTTGTAGGTAAGGCGCACGATGGCAAACCTTGTTTAGGCTGGGGAGGTTTCAAGCAGGAGGCGGCCCTTCTTGGGTTCGGGACTTACGGCCCGGGACCGGGTGTTTGTGTGTGTGTGTGCCAAAAAGACCTTAATTAAAGAAGCAACCCGAAGCTGAAGCCGAACAGTAAGGAAATCTGATCCATTCTGATCTCATCGAGACGACTTCGGCTTGCCATCGATGCGCGCCACCCACAAAACTCGCCCCGTCTTCCCCTGGCCACCGCAGAATGACTCTTGATTTTGGGATGTGCGTCCAGCGCAGCTCGGATGTTCAGAATGTTCCTACAATAAACTTGGTCCTTTCGAAAGCTTGCGCCACTCATCATCACATCTTATCATGTGCTACTGTACCAGCATGAAGACGAACACTGATGACCAACAGAAGCCCACAAAGAAGCAAAGCAACTGCAACTGCAACAGCACCTACCACATCCTACGGTTGATGATAAAGATCCTGCATTACCTTTAAGGACCCTCAACTATGGGAATTATGGTCCTTATTCCTTACTAAGGGCAATGCAGGATATATATATATATATACATACATATACATATAGTATATATATATA